AGTTCCTGAGTTTAGTTTAGTTCCTGAGTTTAGTTTAGTTCCTAAGTTTAGTTTTATTTTTGGGGGGGGGGCTGTTTCCAGCAGAAGTGGGTCACAGTCCCTGCTGGACGGGATGGGAGGTGCAGCGAGTTCATCTCATGGATCCTCAGCTGGAAAAGCACATTTTCTATTGAGCTGGAGCTAACGCTCTATGAGGTCGACCGCTCTGCCTCTTTAACAAACTCTCGGTGACTTCAGAAGCTGAAGTTCTCTCCAACACCTCCAGCAAAGACAGAATAAAGTCGCTTCAGTTTCCTTAGCGTTGTGACTGTTAGTTCCTCAGATCAGTACTTCAGATATTTTGGCTTCATTTGTCGAGGAAGTGAAGACGTCGTCTTTATTTACAGTTTATGGTCATAACCACAAGCTCAGGGCAGTTTAATTATAGAGCTCACTGTGAACAACTCTTTACTGAGTACTGTTAATACTTTCAGTGCCTTTTCTTATTTATATTCACATATTTGTACAGTGTGGTATTACTACTTTGACTCGAGTACAGGAAGTGAGTGATCAGTCACACTCATGTTCTGGTTTGTTTGAAGAGAACAAAGAGAAGAAAGTAAAAGAATTTCAGTCAGTAGTTTGTTCCTGAGTTGATTTGTTGCTCAGCATCTTTGGGACGTGAATGGAATATTTTTTCATTTTTATTTTCATTTCTTTGACTTTGTGCTCAGACGCTCTTTGTTCTCCTGTCTGCTGCAGTGACCTGATTTGACCTCTTGGGGTTATTTAAGGTAACTGGACTGATTCAGAGCTGGAAACAAACCTGTAATAAAACCAATGATAAATAGAAACAATAAAATAACTAGAAGCACCCCCCCCCCCATCGTCTCCATGTTAAATCTGTCACATTCAATCTGCTGCAGACACACTTGAGGGATTTTATTTTGGCCGTTGCCATGTTCATGTCTGTTGCTAGGTAACTTAACAGCGTTGGGCATGTTGCCATGGTGATACTACAGAGAGCAGCGTTACCTCCTGTCACCTCAGTGGCGGGATACAGCATCGTGTTGCGTTCACAGTCGGCTGGTTGATTCCAGTGTCCTCAGACGACTCCTGTCCTCTGAAAACCTGCGATAAGTTTCACCTCGTAAGACTTTAAACCTACAAGCTGAAACAAAGAGATTATATAATAATCACAGTTTTTATCTTTATTATGAAACAAGAGAAATATTTTCTGTCTTTATGTTTAAAGAGCAGGAAATTTAAAATTGTTCTCTGGTCTTAATCCTAGAGACTAAATGTTTCACAGTCGAGTTTGTGTCTGAGAAGTTTCACCTTTGACTTTCAGAGTGCACGTGAGCGTGCACGTGGGCTGTGTGTGCACAACAAACTAACATGTTCATTCTGTTTGAGTCTTTTCTGTGAGTCTCCCCCTGCTGCTGAGTTTGTGTCACTGCGTTTCTCTGCCTGCTCTTCAGGTGATAAAACAGAAACAGCAGCATTGTTCAGGAGAGCGGAGTCAGCAGCCGGCGATCGTGTCCTCGGACCTGGTGGTCGTGGTCCTCTCCCTCCTCCTCAGGTGTCGTCTGCTGTCGAGGACTCGTCTCTCCACCCTCAGCACCTCCTCGTACAGGTAGGCCGGCTTCACGTTAAGCAGGAAGGAGAAGAGCTGCAGCAGCCACACGAACGACCGAGGCAGCGTCGCCTCCACCTCCGAGTAATGACTCCTGCACTTCCTGTGGAGAAGAGGAGTGAAACCAGCAGATCACTACAATCACTATTAAAAACAAAGAGCTCCTTTAACTTTCATTTTTTAAAACGTTTTCATACTTTTTTAAATATTCAAACCACTTTTTAAAGTGCTAATGCTACTTTTAATGCTAACATCACTAAGTGCTCACAATACTGTTACATTCAATTATTTATTATACATCTTTGCTTTAATGTTGTTTATTTGCTAACATGTAAACATAGCTTTTGTTATAATGCTAACATTATAACATGGAAGCTATAATGTTACGGATAGAATTTTGGTGCTAGCATGCCTTCATTGTATTTAATAAATATATAATACATATTGTATTTAATAAATATATAATACATATTGTATGTAATAAATATATAATACATATTGTATGTAATAAATATATAATATATATTGTATTTAATAAATATATAATATATATTGTATTAAGTGCAGATTTGTGGTTTTAATGTAAAGTTACTTATTTGTTTAAATACTAATACTGCTTGTGGACTAATGTTACTTTTTGCTATAATGGTAACAACTTTTGTCTTTATGCTAATATCACTTTTTACTAATAAGTGCTAGCATTGCGATGCATGATGGTCATGACTTACGTCAATGCAGAGCTTGTTTCAACTCATGGAAAAGATCATTTTACTTTTTTATATTAGCACCTTTTTGTTTTTTGGAGTTTAGCATCATGCTAACAGGTTGTTTAAAGCAGCATAGTTTCAGTCGACACTTTTTAACATACTGGGGGTCGCAGACTCTGAGCGCCGTGTGCCAGTATGCGGTGTTAGCTGGAGTCTGGACGTTGTGTTTCAGGGTTAAGACTCGGTCCAGCTTCTTGTGGTGCAGACTGGGACCGTCTGCTCCGTCCTCATCCCCCCAGCAGAATGTAAAGCTCGACGGATCGCAGCGCTGGACCCCCACGAGACGAGAAGACAGCTTTTCAAAACACATCTGGACCTGCTCTGCTGTCCCTGCAGAGACACAAACATCACAGCTGGTCTAGTTTTATATCATCCGATAAGTAAAGTAACCTGTCCACGACAAGTATCAACCGTTACCATGACGTCACCTGTTGGTTTGTTTGGTGCTGTTTTACTTGAGTTTACCATTTTAGTTTTTTAAACCAGAAGTAACCATAGCCAGACTTGGACACTGAACTCTCACCTACACCTACTGTGACCTGCACCCATTGGACGGTACCAGCTGTCAATCACAGCCTGGGGGGTCATTTTCTATAGACTTCTATAAAAACTACCAGTGGAGTCTCACCCTGCTGGTCACTACACAGAAGACAGGTTTCAGACACTTTGGCTTCACTATGTCTATTTTTGTGAACCGTCGATGACTTGCTGACAAGTTCTAGAGCTCAACGCCTCCTTGAGTATCAGTGATCCAGTGACAGTTGTATGAACATCACTGTCAACAGACCGTGGTCAGTTCTGCTGCTGTTCATATTCTGATCTGGGCTGAACGGAGCGAGGACGGTTTACAAACTCAGACTCTTACGTTTCCTTTTCATCACAACAGCCTCTGAGTCTCTGCTCGGGTAAAGAGGTTTCTTGGCCTTCCACTGTTTCCTGAGGATGAGAGGGAGGCAGATGATAAATATATGAGTGAAAAAATAATGTTGGTATAAAACACCAAACAACAACCACAAAGCTTCAACCCACAATATTATACCACGTCTTAATCACTTTGAGTAGAACTAAACATGTGTACTATACGATATAAGACTACGATAGTGTTCACAGGGATGGACAGAAAACATAATGCCTCCAGTCACTAGGTGTGCACGTTAAAACGAGCTCAGGTGTTTGAGTCACTATGATTTCACCTGGCGACCTCGTGGTGTCTTTTCTGCTGAGCTGTGATCAGAGCAGCCTGCGTCAATCTGAACCACCTCCTCAGGTTAAACATGTTTCCTGAGAAAATAAAAAAACACAACCTCTTTTTTAAAGTTTGTTTCTATAAGTTTCCTCCTGTATCCCAGTCAATTCAGCTGGTTTTATTTTGACAGGACAGGATGTGATGCAATGTCATGTGTCAATCCGTGCGGGGGTGAGCAACTGACCTGAGTCGTCCTGGTCACCCGACTCGTTGGACAAATCCCTGAAAAACACAGAACAAATGTTTTATTCACCTGTGAAATCTAAGAGGGAGGAGTTTAGATCGGTGGGGGTGGCGGAGTCACCACTCTGTGTGGTCGTCCAGGCCGAAGATGAGCTTCATAGTGACGATGATGAGGGCGGCGGTCTGGATGTCGTAATGCGGCAGGACGGGACAAGACGTGGGGTCGAACGTGAAATCAACCAAACCGGCGTCGTCCATCAGCCTGCAGACCCACGGGTGGAGATCATCTGGACGCAAGCAGAGAATACAGAGAGTACTGTGAGTACCGTCTGTGAGTATTGAGAGTACAGTACGTACTGAGAGTACTATCTGCAGTACTGTGAGTACTGTTGGCATTACTCCCAGAATGCAGCAGCCAGAGTCCTTACACGTAACAGTGAACATATCGTTCCTGTTTCTGGACTAAAATCTCTCCAGTGGCTTCAGGTGCAACACAGAATCAACTTCTGAGAGTACTGAGAGTACTGAGAGTACTGTGAGTACTGTGAGTACTGAGAGTACTGAGAGTACTGTGAGTACTGAGAGTACTGAGAGTACTGTCTGCGGTACTGCGAGTGTTTTACCAGGCAGGTTGGTGTCTGTCAGGTAGCGCAGGCTGAGCAGTGCCGGGTGCAGCAGACTCTGTCGGCTGATTGGAGGAAACGTTTGAGGCTGCAGGAACAGAAGCAGAGTCTGAGCCTGGCGGTGAACGACCCGGTGGGACGGGACGCTCTGTGGAGACACAGCCGACACGACGTCAACGCTACAGAACGTTCACAAAGATCACTGAAGGTTCATCTGACACCTGATCTTTAAAAACATTTGAAAATGTCTGACCTCGACTCTGAAGATGAGAGCATCTTTACCGTCGAGCTTCATCTCTTCTGGAAGTTCCTCGAAGGCGTTTATGAACGGGACGTGACCTTCGCTCACCAACCTGCGGACAAACACACCCACTCAGTCCTCTACGACGATCCAGACCGTCACCGGACAGTTAGCATGAGGTGAGGTCAGATGTTACCTGAGCAGGTCGCTGAGCGTCAGCGGCTCGTGGCTCCAGATCAGAGCGAGGTGGATCAGGGCCAACGTCTTCGTCATGTTCATCAGACCATGACTGCGCCTCTGCCGGGCCGTCAGGTAGGTGACGATGTCTGAAGAGCCCGAACGCTGCGACCAATCACTGCAGCTCTCTGCTTGTTTCAAATCAAACAGATAAAATAAAAACTGTCAGTACATTTTACCACAAAGAGATCAAACACAAAAATGTCTTTATATATATATATATATATATATCGACCATCACAGTACCTGTGTTAGAGGCGGCGGGGCTGGACAGATTCGTCTCTCCGTCCGTCTCAGCAGACGACATAGCTACACTGTCTGAGTCTGATCCTGGACGTTGCTGAAGAGAGGCGGAGTCAGGGAGGCGAAAAAACAAACAAAAAAGTTATTAGTAAAAGTTTTGACAAATTTATATTCAGGCAAACATTTTAACAAGTGATTAATACTCAAGTCAACTGCTCTACATTTACCAAAGTCTGCCACTAGGGGGCATATAAGTCAGAACAATAAGAATCGATGTCCTGTTAAAGCAGTGAGGGATGATGGGAGTTGTAGTCTTCTCCTGGTTAGATTCCTTCAGTGTTGATGGTTCAGGAGGTTTTTATCTGAATTCTCCTCGGACGTCTCCGCCTCCAAACAAACTCCAGTAACAAAGTGAATAAAGCAGCTTCATGTTCAACTGTTTCTCTGACTCGTCTCTGAGGAGTCGAGCTGCCGCTAACGTTCGCTCAGCTTGTTTCTCTGAAAACTTCAGATCCAGACGTCCGACGACTCAAATCCTTCGTCTGCTTCAAATAGAGTTAAAAACCACGCAGAACTGAAATATGTGTCAGTGAACTCACCACTTTAAACACGGAGCTCCTCACCGGGTTGCTGGTGAACGCCTGTCGACTCTTCTGCAGGTAAAGTCTCCACAGCTGACACAACACCGGGTCCTAGAACGGCACACGATCGGCCACTTTTATGGACTGGAAATAAAGATAGCCGACGTCTATCTCACCGAAGTTTGTTCAAGTGTTTCTGATCAGTTTGGTTTGAATGAGTTATTTATGATATAAAAACAGGCGTCATGATTGGTTGAGAGCTTGACTGGGCGGGACCTTGACACCACGGCTCCGACTTCAAAGGAGCAAGATTACAGAATTCATGATATAAAATCTAATGAAATAATTTGGTTTAATTTCTGGAGCAGGTGGAAACAGAGACAGTCTTTGATCTTTATCTTACTACGTTCAACCACTGGAGTAAAAACGGACCTTGAACTGAGCAGAGACTCCGAGTCTGAGCAGAGCGTTGGCCTGGTTCCTCAGGATGAACTGAAAACCTTCACAGATCATCCACTGACGACCACGATCTTAACAAACAGACAAAAAACAAACATGACACACTTTTTTTTTTTTAAATCATTGATTAATCGTCTTGAGCAAAGGTTCCAAACTCAAAGATCTTCAGTTGCTGTGAAAAACCACCAACTCTCACTGGAAACTACGACCAGAGAAGATCTCTGTTGGTTTCAGAATCATCCAAACAAATGCTTTGATAACAAGCACATCACATGACCGGTTTGTTTTTCTTCAATGGATGCTGATGTGAGCCGGAGACACTGACCTGGTCTCCTGCGTCTCGTCCCTCGGCCAATAGTGGAGACTCTGGTGGATCCGGGGGTGAAGGTCGTGTCCACCACCTCTTTGGTTCTCTGAGAACATTTGGACACGTTCACATATTAAAAACTAAATTTAATTCACACACATGAAAACTGATGAAACTCAAAAGAAAAGTAACATAAGAAATACAACACTGCCACCTGCTGGCATGAAGCTGCCCTGTCCCTGAATGTGTCACTAGTCACAGAAATGAGTCCAGACTTTCTCCTGAGTTAATGTTTCACACACGAGCAACACCGCAGGAGAGGGGCGGAGCAGCAGAGACAGGAAGTGATCATGTGATCATGACACCACCTGACACCGTCGTCAGCTCAAACTGTCTTCACGTCTTCGTCTTCTACATTTGTTTGTGTTTCTGCAGACAGTTGTGTTCACAGAGCAGCTCCTCCAGAGAATGTCTGCAGATTATCTGGAGTTCAGTGCAGGTCTGAAAGCAGCTCATGTGTCTCAGTGTCCCAGTCAAAGCCCAGATATGAACCCCACAGAACAGCAGTGCAGATGAAGACGTCAGACACTTCTCGTCCAATCAGACGGAGCCTGAGACGAAGCTGTGACTGCTGCTGAAGGAACTTTTACAATGTTCAACATTTTAACAGCTTTACTCCCGTCAGAAGCGGTGACGTCATGTTCCAGATCAGCTGGTCGTGTTTCTGTTGTTTACCTCGATGACATTGTGGCAGGATCTGCAGTAGAAACGACCCTCGTCTGAAATCCCCCAATCCACCGCCGAGCACTGAGCACAGAGCTCCCTGAACCCGGCCTGCACACGCACACGCACACACACACACACGCACACGCACACACACACACACACACACACACACACACAGAGATTTATAAAACATAAATGTGACTGTGAGTCTTTACATCATCGCTGCAGGTTCAAACACACTTTTCAGTTTTTATAGAACAAGAAGTGAAGAAATCTTTGAAATCGTTGAACTAAAGAAGAAACAACATTAAAGCTTCAGATGAGTTCAATGATCAGAACCAGAGACACTACCGTGAGTTCTTCATCCATGTTCACGATCAACGACCCGTTCAAACTTTACGACTGGAACCAGCTGATCGTTCGCATGTCACACGTGTCTGCTCCTCCTCCTCTTCCTCCTTCTTCTTCTTCTCCTCCTGCTCCTCCTCCTCCTTCTTCTTCTCCTCCTCCTCTTCCTCCTTCTTCTTCTCCTTCTTCTTCTTCTCCTCCTCCTCCTCTTCCTCCTTCTTCTTCTTCT